GATTTACTTTTCTCGTCTCGGTAACAAAATGCATTTTCAATGTTTACTTAAATCGCGTGCTATGAATAGATTGTCTTGTAGAGATGAACAATGACGTATGGACAGTAAGCATTCTTTGAGCCCAAATTTTCTCAACATAGTTTTCACAGACTTCTGGGAATTCATTGTTCTATTTTAAACTTCAGGCTAAATGAATATTAAAAAATAAGTTATTTTTTCTAAAAAATATGTAAATAAAGTTTTCTATTTAATTTTTTAGCTAAAGCTTCTTTTAAAAAATGTTTATTTTACCTTTAATGCTTTTTTATGCATTCTTGGTTATTTCATCGTACTGTTTTCAGCAAACATTTCGTTTGTATTATGAGAAAGCTTATAATATAACTAGTTTGGAATATTGATTGCACTATCAAATTGATAGAATAAAATTGATTTATTTATCGTAATAGGGAACGCTTTTATTTGATACCCATATGACCGTGCACAAAACAATACTGTTAATTAAGTTCTAAAACCATGTAACTTGGCTAACTATGCATTATCATGTAAACTCACCCTGTAAGCAAAATTTCAGTTTAATCTTGCTGTAAAATTCAGTTACAAGTTTTACGAACATACATAAGCACCAACATTAAAAATTAAGGAAAAAGATTTAAATATCGAAAACGTGGCGCGAGCAAATATTCGTATTTCATAGAAATCTGTAAAAAATAAAACCAAAACAAAGCCAACCAACATCTGAGAATTTCATGCAATTAACAAGGGACGTTTTTTGTTTAATTAAAAAGAATCCACGCATTGAGATCTGATCTAAAAAGAGGTTGAGTAACCCTATTTTGGCGAATTTCCAATACCGAATCCGCATTCTTACTAAGTAATCAATCGACTCACCAGTGTTGCCTTTGTGTGGTACAAAAAATACTAATTTCTTGAGTTTGTTTCCTCCGCAAATGGTAAGGCTGGGCGGTCCTGGCATGTTGCTGAACACCATAGTAGCTTGGTTACTATTCAAAATAGTTCGTAAGAAGTGCTTTGGGAAAATACTGACTAGCTTGATGAAATAATGGTTGAACTGGAAAGCAAAAATCTATATTAGTACGGACAAACCTATCTAATATCTTCACACTCAATCTCTTGCGGTAAAGCAATCGTTACGTTTTATTAATGGTGACATCATTAACAAGGAAAATTATTCAACTATCTCTAAAAGATTTCTAGTAAAACCTCAACTAATTGTTTCAAACATTGTATTAATGTACTATTGGCAAGCAAGTTTTTGCCCGCCTCCTCATTTGCATCGACTTCGAAATTGTAATTCCCCGTTTTAAACTAACAACTCTATCCTTAAGATGTTTAATGAAAAATTATTTATACGCTTAAGTTTATACACCACTACAGTCATTCTAGTTTCATTTTTAATATTAGTGGTCCATTTTCACTTCATTCACCCAGTAACTTGTCCCGGCTTTGCAAGTCGTCGGTATAATTTTTCCCGACATCTTCGGTAAACAGACCAGCGTCATATTTTACATAAAACCTTAATGAATTTATCGTTGCAAGTTTTTTTTTACACTTCTGTTTATCAGTCTAAACGCAAAGTATAAGCATCGATAATATTAGAATGCATTCTTACCAAAGGATCGGCACTAATACGAAACTCGTCGCATCGTCGTTTGATTTCTTCGAAAGTTCTTCTGTCTCTTATTGGCACTTCTAAAATTGTTACGCTAAAATTGTTCTTTAAAAGATGACCATCATTAATAGATGCCGATTTTGGAAATCTTATCGGTAATATCACACCTAAATCTTCAGGAAGTTGGCTGAAGGTCTAAAATTGGATTTCTTAAATTAACCTATTTATTTTTTGTTTCGTGATAACTACTGAATCGTACAATTTACCTTCGTGTAATAGTCGTGCATACCACCAGATAGAGCAGCCACTAAAACATCTGAAAACGTAAAACCAGTAACATTCTCTTTTATTTCTTTTACCATCGAAAGCAAATTCTCATCCGATTCTGTCCATTTAAACAATTTATCCCCGTGCAACGTTGGACCATGTAATTTGTTATCATCAGGTATTCTCAGGATGGCGTCGACAAAACACAATGGCATTTTACACAAATTCTTTATCATTTCGAATATTGCACCGGGTGTCCTATAATTTTTAACTTCAGGCACGGAGAAAATTTTCAAATTATCAGTATTTTCATTATCAGCTAAACTTTTACATAATAACTCTAGAAGAGCCACTCCATCACCAACTGAATGGTGAATGACAAATATGATTCCGTATGTACCTCTATCCATTTCATTACTACTAACTCTTTGCTTAGTTACAAAGATTTTGAATAAACCTTCGTCTTCATACGGCAACGATTGACACGACACCTCCGACATTATATGTTCCAAGTCTATAACGTTAAGTTCATTTTTATCTGGACGATCTAACACTTCTACATATTGACTTACGTCAATAGCACTGTATTTTCTCCAGTAATAAAATCCGTATTCTTCATTTCTCCGGTAAAATATTTTATCTACGCCTGTTTTTGATATGACGCTTTGTAACTTATGTTTAATATTACTAACAAGAACTTCAGGTGAATTAGACTCTATAACCCCTAACACATTAATAGTCGCATCGTTTTCTAAACTCCAGAAAACATCGAAACTGTCCAAAAGACCGGCAAAATATTTGTCTTTCTTCCATATCACCAATGTACACAACACTTTGTAACTAAAAGCAATTCCTAAACTTAATGTTATGATTGGTAAGCTGAGCACTAACGCACACAAAATAACAACTCTTGATAGGCTATTTTTGTTAAATAGTCTTGCTACTAAAGAAGCCAGAAAAAGTCGCTTGCAAAACTGGAACAAACGAATAATATTTTAAGGATTTACAATGTTATCCGTGCAACTAATTTTGCGAAATGTACTTACGATGAAATGTAACACAACATTAATAAACACTATACTAAGAGTAACTGTAATTGAGTCGGCGGATTGAAAGAATTTAGTTGCATTCGGTGAGGCTAAATTTTTTTCTACGCTCACATTTTCGAATAAATTGTTCTTCAAAGAACAATTAAACTCCAAGTCTGGATTACTCATTGTGCCATGCAATTATCACTATAGTCACTGAACAATGAATTTTACCGATATTGCAATATTTAAAAAAACACCAACTGACGCAAGATCCAAGCGAACACTGAAAGAAACCTAATAGAAAATGTTAAGTTAAGATGTCTGAAACCTTAGTTTCTTAAAGCCGTAATCCAATTACATATAGTAATCAGTATCATGTAATATTCAGAAATAGTTGCATATTTGAGAATATTGCAATACTGTGATCTAATTGCCTTTTTTTATTTTTTCTAGGAACAGCTTTTATAATTTGAGTTTAATATATTGAATAACTAAATTTAAATAACTACATTATTTTTTTCTTTTGATAGAGATGTTTAATTAAATTAAAAGACGTTTGATACAAACAATGAATTTCTTAAGAAAACTGCCGTTATTTTTATATAATCTAATTGAGCCATACAATTTTGTCATTTGTTTCCGTAATTATGACCTCAAAATGTATTATTTCTTTCTAATAAACGACTTCATAAAAGGAGGTTCTCAATTCAGCTGTATGATTTTTTAAATCATTGTTGTATTAGATAGGAGATATGTCTATAACTTATTCCGATTAAAATATGAAATAAGTTCAAAACTTTTACTTAAAATGTATTCACAATAATATTTGTAAAGCTTTTTAAATTTCTGTTTAATAAGAGACTAATATTATTATTGTTTATACTTTTTTATGACAATAGATATGACCTAGTTTAATATTACTTACGTACGAGTAATATCACTTATTGTACACCGTTGCTTTGTCTAATTCGAGAAATCTGTTCATATTTAGTACTAATCACATTACAAGTCCTTCGGAATCACTACCATATTGCTTTCACTCTTCTGTCTCTTGATGAAACATAAAACATTGATCCAGAGGAACGATGCTGACGCGACGTATACCACACGTAGGTGTGAGGGTACAAAGTAGAAGTTGATGGTCTGGCACGGAATCCAAAAGGTTTGGTTGGCGACGAAAGTCCTCCAGTACTTTGATTTAAGCTCTTCAAACACGTCCTCTTTTCTTTCCAAAACTCCCATCACTGAAAAATAATTCACCTTCCATATAACACTTGCATTTTCGTATAGGGTCTAGTCATTTGCGAGTAATATTCCTAATATTTTCTGTGACTATAAACGAGAAGAATCGTTTTAAAATATTTGATCTACATAAATATATAATGAATACCTATATCTCATAGTCACGCTATCACATGTGAACGGCTGGATCGATTTCACTAATACTTTTGTTGTGTTTGTTATTGTAAGGAAACGGTTCTTATGAAAAAAAAAATGAAAATTATTTGGAAAGTTTGACAATTCCTAGTCTAACCTTAGTGCTTTGGATAATATAAACTTTTTTAATGTTACCTTATGAAGTTTAAAATAGAATTGACAAAATGTGTGCTGCAAATATCGTCTAATAGGATGTAAAAAAATTGTCGAAATCTATATTATAATTAAGACAGGACAACGTATGTTAGGTCAGCAGTTCTTTATGTTTTTGTCTGCTTAGCTTTGTCTTGTTGGTGAAAGGTTGGTTTGAGGTCCCGATATATATATATACCTTATTCACAAGATAAACATTAAAATAACATTGTGCATGCATCTAATAAAGTATCTCTGGATGGATTTGTATTTATCAGAATTTTGCGACTTTACTTTGTTGCTTAGTCACTTTTTATAGCCATGTGTCCTCGGCAATCCATCATTATATTAATCTAGAGGCAAACTGCAGACTTTCAAACGTGAAACGAAGATCTGTCAGTCTAACAGATTGTTCATGACTTTATTTTCGCAGATCAATTAAGGATTGAAGTTACATCCTAAACTCTACGGCATAACTTCAATCGAGAGAACGAAAATCGGGACTTCATAGATGGCTTCAAACAGGAGTGTGATACTGTCTATTAAGGCCATCACATAAACTTACATGTGTAAAAACCAGCAAGTAATATTGGAGTCGCGATGAGTTGATCTGCTGCCACCTTTGTAGCCACAGTCTTTATTGCCGTACCAACGAACTTCTTATCCAAGTATCTGTACCTGAAGTAAAATTTTATAAACGATTTATGCTGTACTTGATTTCTAAGAACAAAAATATGGAACGAAAGACAAATATTAATTATATTTAAAAAATGTTTAAAGAACTACAATTTTATGTACCCAAAGGGTAAAGCCGAACTCTTATTACTAAGACTCGGTGTCCATCCGTTTGTCCATCTGTCATCACACTGTATCTCATGAACCGTGAGAGATATATATAGATAGATAGTTAAAATTTTCACGTGTATTTGTTACCTCTATAACAATAAATACTAAAAAACTGATTAAAATATATATTTAAGGAGGCTCCCATATAACGAACGTAATTTTTTTGAGTTTTTCATAGTTCCCTTCGTGCGCAAGTACAACTCGCACTTGACTGGATTTTAACCGACTTCAAAATCGAAAAGGAGGAGGTAATATGTTTGCCGGCGATATATGTTTTTTATATGTGTTTACCGATATTTCTGCCAATTGTTGGCCGAAATTATTTTTTTATTCGACAGCTTAATGGACCAAGGTAGTTTCATTAAAATTTGATCGAAATCGTATCAAAAATTTCCCTTTAATAATAAAACAAAATATGCTTTTCATCAGATATACTTATTATTCAAAAACATAAAATATATTTTTTAAACGTTTAGTGATTGATTGTTTAATACTTTATTGCACTAAAAACAAACATAAAACAAAAGAGAAATGCACATATATGCAAAAGGCGGCCTTATTGCTAGGGTATCTATTTCTCCCAGGCAACCTTTGGCTAACAGAAACGATAACAACCAAGAACACATATAACGGATTAGTGCATTAAATTACTTAACGAGAAAAAGAGAGGAAAAAAAAGGTACAGATTAACGGAGAGACAAAGTACTAAAATGAAGAAAGATCTAGCTTGAAAAAATAGTCCTTAACTTGTTTCACGAACGAGTCCCGAGACTGCGCACGTCTAATAACCACACGCATCAGCATAATCAAGCAGTGGCAGAAGAAGGGATTGTGCAATTGAGATTTTAGTCTGTCGGCAAAAGAGTTTAAGGCGCTTCAGCGAGCCGTATGCGCCAAACACCCTCCTGCTCACCTCACAAATATGAGGACCCCAAGATAAATTACAGTCAAACAGGACACACAGGTTTTTAACAGTGTCCTGTAATGGTATACAAATGCCATTTAACAATATCGGTGGAAGTGTTCCATTATTTATCCTAGTTTGATACCAGTGATAATTGCCTGTGTTTTGTGAGGATTGACTAACAAGCCGTGCAGTCGACTCTAATATGAGATATGTTCCAAATCATTATTGATGGTAGTAATTGCTGTAGGTAGTTCATCTATAGACGCTTGAGTGTAAATTTGCAAATCATCAGCATACATGTGATAGGAAGAAGAGAGAGGAAGCGTGATTGAATTTATGAAGATAGAGAATAGGAGAGGAGACAAAACGCCACCCTGCGGAATTCCAGCTATTGTATCGCACCAATGTGAAAGATTCTCTCCCACACTTATACGAAGCCGTCGTCCATACAGGTAACTACGAAACCAATCAATCATCCGAAGAGAAACATTAAAAGAAACCAACATAGCCAATAAAATTTCAAAATCAACAGTATTAAATGCATTACTAAAATCTAATAGCGTCAACACCGAGAGCCACGTCTCTCCATACCTACGCGAATGTCATCCGCGATTTTCACAAGTGCAGTAGTCGTACTATGACCGGGCCGCAAACCAGATTGATTTGGATTTAGGAGGTTATTCAAAAAATGGAATTTACTGAACTGTTGATAAACTAGTTTTTCTAGATCTTTGAATAGGAAAGGCAAAATAGAAATAGGAGGGTAATCAGAATAGGAATCAGGCTTAGACTTTTTGGGTAAAGGAACAATATTAGCTTCCTTCCACAAAGAATGGTACAAAGACGAAGAAATGGATTTATTGAGGATTTTGGTTATTACAGATGTAAAGATATCAAGGAGAGGAACAATCATCCTACGACTGATGCTATCGCTACCCAATCGCATTAGATTCTTTTTTTTTACAGTAATTAATTACGAAATGTGTTTCTACTATACAACAATTGTTACTATCTTGCTAATAAAGAGTTTTCTCACTCTACTCTCTACTTCTATTATATTGTTATTTATTAACATAATTTTATTTGCTTTTCATATGCACTTTTATATTTTCAATTTAGTTAGTTTACTGTCAGTTTTATTTGTTATAGCTTTATTATATTTGATAGTTTACTATATTATATAAATTCGATGAGATTTTTCCTATTCTTGTCATTAATCCAAAGCACTTTTATTATTATGTATGAGTATGTAACTAGCTATGACCTCTTTTCTGTGTTCTGTGGTGTGCCTTTCACAGTTAGAGGGCTACTCTCTAGCTGTGAAAGGCTTTTCTATGATGGTAAGCGGTCTTTTAATTCAATAAATTTTAATCGATATTAGAAAAGTTTACAACTCGAAAATTGTTGTAGAATTTCCTAGGAGGCAATAAATATTTATCTAATGATATAATGTTTGGTGATATGATTATGGTAATTGATCCATTGTTTCAAATACGAATTTTATTAAGTGCGTCATTCTTCTGAGTTTATATTTTGTTTCATGTTACTTCTATCACATAGCTTTTGGTGGATAAATTTAGGATAAATGACTATTTTATCCTTCGTTCGTCGCTACTGAAGTACATGCAAGAGAAGTAAAATGAAAATGTAATATCGTCATAACATTCCTAAGATGTCATATCCTGTGGCCTATATACATCATCTCTATTTACTCTACATAAATTTCTATTCTTTCTTGTTTTGACTTCTTAAACATCTCCTAATCAACATTTTATATATTTTTTTGGTCGTCGCTGACTATATAATAAAACATTTTATCACGATAAGTAACGCACTATTTGCCTACAATGAGTACAAATAACGAATACAGTACAAAACTCATTTCTATTCGCATTAATTATTTATAAGTGAAAGTAAAACCTATTTAAACGAATAATTAACAACTACAGTGAAATCAAGACAATTTGTTGACGTAGGTCTTATGTCGTTTTATACTCGGAATACACATATAGGAAATGTATTTTATTAGTACAATATTTTATCATTATGTAACGGACATTGCTCAACGTCCATACATTGGTGGCCCAGAGCCAAAAAAATATAGGAAAATACTTATTTTATTGTGTGTCACTAACTAATTCTCATTATGTATTCATTATACCGCGACCGAGTTTTAGAACTTATTATCACGCAAAATATAATTCATTTTGAGGTTATAATGTGTTTAGAAAACCACCAAGAGATGGCATTCTAAGTACATGATATGATATTGATGTCTATATTGTCGAAGCAAAAAAACTCAACTTTAAGAAAGTCGGTTTTTCGTTGTGATTTGTAAAAGTTTCTAAGTCAATCAATAGACAAATAAATCATTCTAATAGTTAAATAATATACCTATTGATAAGCTTAAAATTAAAAAACCCATAGCTTTTTGATGGTTTACATCAAAAGATGGCGCCTTAAACACATAAATGACATCATGTTAATATGTTTACGAGAAATATAAAGGTAATGTAATAGAAACAAAGTCCTTTTTAGGATATGTCGTATCAATATCAATCTTTCTGAATAAACAAGAGTGAATTATCAACACTTAATGAATTTAGTTTGTATAATATTCAGTTTTCATGTCCTTATGTTTTAGTTGGAAAATCACCAAGAGATGGCGCTTTTAGTAAATTTAAGTTTATTTTCGATCAATTTAATTTAATGTTTTTGTGTTCGATGATTTAAAGGTTATCTAATAAAAATAAATGATCTTGTTGATCTGACGTGTAAATTACATCCATCTGACTCAATAGAATTTAATATATTGAATGTGAATATTTGCGAATAAAAATGTTACTGTTAAAGTACTTTTAAATATTAATTTTGGATCGCAGCTTGTCCGTGTCAAATAAATATTTGATTCCAATTTAATAAATAAATTAGTAATTATTATTGAAGTATTAATATTTAATGGTATTGGGGCCATTTTCGGCGATGTCCTTTCATTGATAGCTGGAAGGTACTTAAATCAGAAGGTCTAACTGTACATCGCAGACTAAAGAATCATATCCAATTTTAACTTCAAATTTACTAAGTATCTAGTGATGTGATATATCTGTAAATGTAGTTTATTTTTTACTAATTAAATATCTTGTGATTAAGTCTTAAAATAAATTCAATATAAGAATTGCGAGGCTGATAAATATATTCAAAAAGTTACCCCTATGCGATTCGGACCGTATCTACCCTAATGACGGTTTGCCTCGTTTCGTTTTATCTACTATGGAAAAATATTCTTTAGTCATAAGGTTAAAAATTGCGCATCATCAATTACTTATATATTAGTTTATGTCCACATTTACGCGTCAAACTATAAAAAACTTTTATATAAACGCATTAATTTTTAACAAGCATCACAATTATCTTTAGTTTGGGCAGTTAATATAACTTTAAAACACTACTTATAAATTACGAATCTCCCTGGCCTCCAGATGGAAAGATGCTTAGATATTTTTCTATTTAATGCAAAAACCAATTTAAATTATCGAAAAAAACGCAAACATAATAGATCAGAACTAAAACCTACCGATTGAAGTTGCTATGAATCGATTCCAATTCAGTCTGAGCTGAATCATAAATCTGACTCATCTACGAAAGATCCACCTGTGTCTAATCCCACACCTACACCTCCTTTTGCTCCTGGATCCTTTGGTAGAACATCATATGCTAAAACAGACGCAGCTACTTACATGGCACATGTTCAAAAAATAAACACGTGACAGGTCAATCAATGTATGCGAAGTGGACATAAACCTTTAAACGGAGCACTTTTCCTTGGCAAAAATATAAATAATAAAATTACATCATAGTGACGCTGTGCTATAAAGACGGAGTCTTAAACCAAGAGAAGTTTTAAATATCGGTATATCAACATAAGCAACTTTGACATAAGCATATGAGAAAATGCCTTACAATCACTTGCCCTAGGTATCTCGAGATGGGACACGAACCCACAACGTTTCGCTATCCCGGCGACTGCTCTAACAATTGAGCTACCCGAGACAAAACAGAACTGACAAATTTTTCAGGCACTTGCTACTAGTGACCGTATTTTCATCAATGTCCCCGTCAATCTTTTTAAACATTTTTCATTAATTATATTTATCAGTATTGCATTGTGAATACCATTTTTCTACTCTAATGTTGATATATCATATTAAAACTAAAAAAAATAGAACCGACTTCAAACTAAAAAAAGTGAAAATTAATGCTTATTTTAAAATCAAATTTATTCAAAAAAATGTTATTTAAGTTGGCTGGAGGTTTTCTGTAGGTTATTAAATAATTGATAGGCGCCCGACTTCAAAAGCATTTACCTCGAATAAGTCGCTTTTAAAATAAGTATTATTGTCCACTTTTTTATTTTCAAGTCGGTTTTATTATTTTTTTAACTTTTTATTTCATACTTTTTAGTGATATTGATATTTTTTATACATAGGTAACACTAAAAATATTTTTCTGAAAATCACGTCAAAATCGGTTCAGTCAAACGCGAGATAATCGCGGCCAATAGGTACACACAACATGTGTTAAAGTGAGAACCTCCATTTTTTTTGTAATTTAATTATACCTTAAGTCTTCTAAGTATGAATAATAAGTCTGAAAACCGAATCAAAATCGGCTCAGCCAAACGCGAGATAATCGCGCAGAAACATTCATAAATACATAAAAGTCAAACATAAAGGAGAACCTCCTTTTTTTGAAGTCGGTAATAAAATAGACACTGATTGACTAGTGACCACACATGCTAATTGAACAAAGAATCCATCATCGCAATAGATAGATTTTTAAAAGGTGGTGTCATGTTTTTTTTTTCTAAATTCACGCCTAATATTTTATTAATGTTAGGCGTGAATTCAGAATACCTGCGTGAAGAAATGTGTAATAACAAAACGTGTCGTAAAGATTTCCTGCACAAATTGCCTGGCTGTTTTACATCAGGAAAGTAATATCAGTAAAACTAAGCTATTTCCTTCCGTCGATGTAGCTAGAAAAAATCAATACTAACAAAAATATTTATTAGCTTCTTTTTTAGTAACTTCCGATCGCACACCATCTATACGCATAATTTTTACGTCGAGCTATGAAGATGCTCGTAGGATGAAGAAGAGGTATATAGTTTCTAAAAATTAACCGTAATGCAAAATAAAATGTACTTATTTGCTATAAGAAGTAATAAGCATAATTTTAATAAACATACCAAAAATATAGTGATGTTGGATAAATTGTGCACCCAGCTACTACTATCCTGGCTGCAGCTGCTAAATCTACGTCGGGCTTCTCGGGCTGAACAAATATTTAATGTTATATTACAATGGAATAAACAAGACCAAAATAAATATTTTAACTGGGAAGCTTAGTTATTTATAGATAATATAATATCATGAAAAAATATATCCAAAAATAATTTAAAAGATGACTTCTTTTGGAAACAATTTTATGTCTGTACATTTTTCATCTGAGTTTTTTAGAAAGTTATTTGACGGCTGATATTTTGAAAACTAATTTAAGTATTTTAAAATCTTTATCATGCATTTTTTAAATAAACAGCACACAGAAAACTATATTTTGTTTTATTTTAAGGCTCCGTGTATATATTTGGTTTTTAAAAGTGTTCCGTCATCAAAATAATTTGGAAACCACTGCCCCAAACAAATTAATTTTTGTTTAGAGGTGCCATTTATTGATATTTGGTCATTGAAAGCACATGAATAATTAACGTAGAGCACATAATTGAGATCATTATAGATTGAAAGCTACTATATAATATACAGTACCAAATGTCCAGTAAAATTAAATTACGAAGCAAATGTGTATAAGCAATTATTATATGAACCTACCTGAATAAAGAGAAAAAAACACGTACATCTCTAACGTAGTTTTGTTTTAGGTCATGTTTTAATCTACGTAATCGACAACAGATAGTGATAACTATTTACGACCGCTCGTCACATCGGTAGCGTGGCCGAGCGGTCTAAGGCGCTGGTTTAAGGCACCAGTCTCTTCGGAGGCGTGGGTTCGAATCCCACCGCTGCCAAGCTTTTTTGTTCGTTATTTTTTTATAAATAACACTGCTCTTATTTTATCTCATAAAAATAAATAAAATTGACGTAATAAAGATTTTATAAAATGATTTTTTTTCAACATCCTAAAGTTAACGTTAGGTAGTAAAAAAAATTTAAATATGTATTAAAAATAAATGTCTCTTAAAAAATAGGCTTTTTATGCTGACCAGATTGATAAATCAATTCAAGAGCAATGATTTTCTTATATGAACTACCAATTAACATCTCTTATTATTAATACACGTTAATATTGATTTGGTAATTGAGGTACCTAATCTTATAATTAGATAAAACTTATAGGAATAAATCGTTTTATATGCTTTTATATAATTTGCCTTATTAGTACGTTACTGCGCAAATCTTGGAACTCAAATTCGACCAACTTCCCAATGTCCCATAGATTTGAAATTTTGCATAGACAGATGACAATTATGATGTCAGTAAGCTGATATGATGGTTATGGAACTTAGTGGTGAAATGACACAACTGCATCGTCAGAAATTTATAGAATGAGAGAATACTAAAATGTAAAAAACAAAAAGTTTTTGTTTGTTTTACAAGACAATTTCATAACGTTAATGTAAAAGTAGGTACTTAATTAAAAAAAAATCTATAACAGTATTTGACTTGAAAAGCTTGTAGCGCTAATGAAATCGGAGGCGAGGAAACACACGTATTTTTTACGCACTACAAGCTTTTCAAGTCAATTAATGTCATAGAAAAATTATATTTTAAGGACTTTAACATTAACATTATGAACTTGTCTTGCATTAAATTGTTATTTACGTTTTAGCACAGAATATAGGTTCGGTGCGCCCAAATAAGAGCTTGTTTTTAAAAACTTTTTTATTTTATAGACGAGTAAATACGTCAAGAATATAGTATATAAAAACTCTAATAAGGGAGGAGCGATAAAGACGATAGCGCAATGGTTAGCGCGCTCGGTCTCAGTATACGGCTGTGAGGCAACTTTCCCCACGGCCGGTCATAGAATGGGTGACTAAAAATTTATTATCTCGAACTCCTTCGTCTTTCGGAACATTTCGTACATTAATCCATTGGTCCCAGCTCCATTTTCAGCCATTTTTACCCAACGATATCACTGACAAATTTTTAAAGCACTTGTTACTTTTTTGCTACTACAGAGCGTATTTTCATCAATGTTCAGGCACCCAAACAGCCGAAAGAAATATTTTTACAAAGTGGATTGAAAAGTTCGCGGTCTCAGTAAGAAAACAATATAAAATGTAAGCAAAATTAATTTTATTTTTCCACGTAATCTCCACTTAACTCTATGCACTTCTTCCATCTGGTTTCCAACGCATGTATGCTGGTCATAAAAAAAGTTTCTTCAAGGCCTTCAAAAAAGTCACTCACCGCAGCTTCGACCTCCTCATTTGATGAAAATTTTTGACCTCCAAGGTGTTTTTTTAGGTTTGGGAATAAATAGAAGTCTAAAGGTGCCAAATCAGGGGAATAGGCGGAATGGGGCAGTAATTCAAAGCCACAATCACGAATTTGAGCCCTAAATTCAACAGTCATGTGAACGCGTGCATTATCCTGATGGAACAACACTTTCTTGCGAGTAATCCTGACCTTTTCTCTTTGATTGTTTCACGCAAGCGACGTAAGAGGGTGCAGTAATAATCCGAGTTCATAGTTTCAGTTTCAAGGTAGTCCACCATGATGACATCCTTAGCATCCCAAAAAACTGACGCCATCATCTTGCCAGCTGACAAAATTGTTTTGGCTTTTTTTGGAGTTGGTTCATCATGTTTTTTCCACTGCTTGGATTGCTGTTTTGACTCTGGGGTGTAGTGGTGTACCCAAGTTTCATCCATTATTACAAATTTGGATAAAAAAATATTGTGGATCAGCCTCAAACATTTCCAAACAGTCGCGAGAAATCGTGAGGCGTATTCATTTTTATTCGACTGAAAGCAATCTGGGTACCCACCGCGCTGAAACCTTAGAAAATCCAAGTTCATTGACTATGATGTTTTGTGTTCGTTCATACGAGATGCCAATAGTGTCTGTATCTCCCTGATAGTCAATCTCCGATCTGTCAATATCAGATCACAGATTTTCCCGATGTTATCTTCAGTTGTAGACGTCATAGGGTAGCCAGAGCGAGGGTCATCTTCAATACTCTCTCGTCCGCGTTTAAATTCAGCAAACCACTTTTTCCAAGTCGTATACGACGGAGCAGATTCCCCCAATGTTGTTGACATATCTTCGTGAATCTCTTTTGGAGTTAATTTTTTTTAAACAGATATTTGATGACCGCACGTTGCTCAATCTTCTCCATTCTTTAAAAATACTGCAGAAAGGCTCACAAAATTCAGTCTAATTTAAATACAGTTAATGCTTTTTTTTTTTTTTTTTTTTTTTAATTCGTTCCCTTCGGAACAGGCTAAGATCATAGACCATGCTGCCTTGTCATTAGTTTAATTGTATTTCTTTGTATTTATAATAAGATAACAAGTCTTTAGTATACCTATAATAACTTTGTGCAGTACTAAAAATAAGTATTTACATAAGTAAAATATTCCTATGTGAAGTCGAACGTCAAAAAGATAAAATAAAATATTCAAATCTATTCAAATATACAAGATAAAATCAAAGAGAGCATCATATACAAAGTACTCTTTGGAGACCATCTAAACTATTCTAAACTAACTGAACATATTCATTGAAAGACACCAGTCAAATATAAAAATAAATTCTAAAATTGTTAGAAGAAAATAAAATTAGAAAAAAATGTTAAATAGTACCAACAATCAGAGCATAACTTAGAATAATAACTAAAAACCAAAAAGTAAAGTGAACTATACCAGTCCTATTCTTTGAAAATTAACAGTTTCTCTTAAAAAACAAAAAAATCAAAATAAAAACAAAGACAATAACAACAATCAAACCTTATTGGATCATTTAACGTGTACACCTAAATTTGCCCAATTGTGCTTTCAATAAATTTGAACAAAGGTTTATAAGTGGATGTATTTACAAGCAGATTCGAAATGGAGCGCGGTACCAGTTCCGGACTATTATATATCTCAATCAGCTCATCCATCAGCACAAGGCGCTGGATGCCAAAGGATGGGCACTCAAAGAATATATGCTGCAAAGACTGTTCTGCTTGAGTATCGCAACAGTCGCAAGAGGAACTACGTGCTATATTTAGTCGATAGAGGTGGTAGTTTAGACGACAGTGACCGAAACGAAGCCTCAAAATAGTTGTGTAAAATTTCCTATTAAAGTAAGTCTTACTTTTGCAGAACCAAGGTGTCGAATTTACAGGCACATTAAAAGAAGCATACCATAAACCTTTGTTTTCTATTTGTACTTTAAAATTCCAATGCTTTTTCCACAAATCTGTTGATCTGTTTTTTAAAAGAGAAACAATGTCAGTATTTGGTACAGTTACATTAAGACTATTGCTGGAATCAGGGATAATATTTGAAGCGTTGGTTATAAATCTTGCCAAAAAGTCAACTTTTTCATTTCCAACCACACCTGTATGTGAAGGAACCCACAAAAATGAAACTTGAATGTTATCCACAGAATACAAGTCAAACCAAAATTGTTTGATTGAAAAGATAAGGTAGTTTGTATTGGCATTGAACTTATTATTTTTCAGATTTTCCAAAACACTCATGCTATCACTAACTATTACCCACTTACGACATCCATTATTTTTATATTTAATGTGTTTTAAACCTGCAAGGATAGCCAGGGCCTCTGCTGTAAATATGCTTGTATTAGGATTTATTTTGAAACCTGTACCTAAATTCAATTGCCCATCAAAAATTGCAAATGAGACAGCACACTCAGTTTTTGAACCATCTGTGTATAAAAACCTATGACCAGAAAACTCAGAAAGTTTATAACTAACATCTTGCTTAGAAGATAATTTATGATCAATGATAATATTTATTGCAGGAAACTTACTGTCAAAGTCTCCTTGATAGCAAGGTAGCAGTTCTGATTTATGGATTTGGAGACCATCAAGATAATTTATAAATTGGGAGAAACTATGGAGAATGTAAAGATTACAGTTTGAAGTGCATGAATTTAGCAAGTTTAAAAAGAGGTGATTATTTTTCTTTGTGTATAGTTTTAAAATAAATCGTTCTTTTAAGTATGAAAGTCTTATACTTAAAGGAGGTAATCCACACTCAACTTGTAATGAATTTATAGGTGTACTTTTATATGCTCCAGTTATAAGTCGCATACTTTTATTTTGAATTTTTTCTAGTTTGTCAACCAGTCTATTATCACCAGAAAAACATAGAAACCCATATTCAAAATGACTGCGAATAAGAGATTTATAAAGTATCAATAATATTTTGGGATCAGCTCCCCAGGATGTTCTGCATAATGATTTTAAAATGTTGAATGCTTTGTTGGCCCTTGAACTTATAATTTCAACATATTTACTCCATGATACATTGTGAGTAAATACTACTCCTAAAAACTTTGCCTCACAAGAAACAGGAATAGGGATTTTGTTGTAATATACATTAGAGGCTGAGTTATGAATTTTTCCAAATACAACATATTTTGATTTGAGGGCATTGATATCTAAATTTAAATATGAAAAATAATTATATAAACCTTCTAAAGACTTATTTACAATATTAGTAATTTCTGTTAAATTTTTTCCAGATGCATACACTACGAGATCATCAGCAAACTGTAAATTTTTAACATGAGAACCTAGTACCAGGTTTAGTCGTCTAATATACAAAATAAACAATAAGGGAGAAAGAATTCCTCCTTGACAAACTCCGATAGATGCCTGTCTAGGACCATATAGTTTGTAATTATGTTTAACATATACTTCCCTTTCTGTCAAAAATTTATGGATCCATTGAATTATTTTACTTGGAACTCCTATACAAGCCAATTCAGAACAAAGAATATCAATATTTACATTATTAAAGGCACCAGAAACATCAAAAAATACAGATAACAAGAAATTTTTACTAACTAAGCTATTTTGGATATCAAGATGAAGTTGGCTAATGCTTTCACGGGCAGACATGCCTCTTCTAAACCCAAATTGATTTGCAGGTAAAATATGATTTTGTTCCACAAAAAACTCTAGTCTTTGTTTTAATAACTGCTCGAAGATTTTTCCAACACAAGATGTAAGTGCGATTGGACGATATGAGTTGGGATTTGATTTGGGCTTATCTGGCTTCAAAATGGGTACTATACAATCGGACTTCCATGAATCGGGTATATCATTATTTAACCACAAACTATTCAGAATGGACAAGAAAATTTGAAGACTATTGTCACTGAGTCTTTTGAGCATGAAATAGGGGATGCCATCCAGACCAAATGCTGTATCCCTTCTGGAGCGAATAGCAGACGACAACTCTTGAAATGAAAATGGTTTAATCAGATAGTTATTTGAAGGAATCATATTATCAACTATGGGAAAACTAGAAGTGTTATGTACATAATCTGGGGTATACTTTTGTAAAAATTCTGGGATCCAATCATCATCACTATTGTTATACAAATATGTTTTATTAAATTTACGCATGAATTTCCAGATTCGAGACAAAGGAGTACAACGATTAAAGGAATTACACAATTCAATCCAGCTATTATTTCTCTCAGTTTTCAAGGTAAGTTTTTTTAAAGCTTGTAGCCTTTTGAACTCTATATATGTTTCATTAGAAGGATTATTTTTAAAATTTAAATACGCCATTTTCGATCTTTGAACTGCTTCAAAACATTTTTTGTTCCACCAAGGCAGAATTGGTGTTTTCGTAGTACGGGTATTATTACTATTATTGATAGACGCAGGACTAGTAAATGGAAGGGACCTTTCTATAGCTAAATTCATGATTTTACAGAATACAGAATGAGCTTCTAATGGTGTATAATTTTCTAGTTTGAAAGTTGTTAAAAGGGACTCAACATTTTGTGTATACATTTTCCAATCGACCATTTTAAAATTAGGGTGGATGGGCAAATGTATACCGCGATTATTTGAAACAGAACTTTTGTTGCCATTTTTACTAAAGAGGACTTTGATTATTATAGGAAAATGATAGCTGCCAAGTGGATCATTATGCACGGACCAGTCACATGAAAGAGCCAACGACGGAGAAACTAAAGATAAATCCAAAGCATTAGAACGCCAAGTCATTGAACCAACTGTGGTCACTTCACCATTATTCAAGAGAACTAAATTATTATCATCAATGATTTCCAGGACATCTCTACCTCTAGCATCGACAGAGTTACATCCCCAAGAAGTATGATGGGCGTTAAAGTCGCCAGCAAAAATCATTGGTTTTGGAATTGATTTTACTAAACAGTCAAATTTATATTTGTCAAAGTTTGGAATACAATTTGTAGGACAGTAAAAACTAACAATGCTTAATTCTTTGTTATTTATAGTAACTCTGATGCAAATGTTTTGCAAACAGCTATCATAATAAGTAATGATTTTATTGTAATTTATATTATTTTTAATTAGAATAGCTACACCATTATGTTTGTTGCCAGTATCATTTCTTTCAATTTTGTATCCTTTAATGTTAAAGTTCTTATTAGGTTGTAACCAAGTTTCGGATATAATAGCTATATGAATACTATTTTCATAAAGAAATTGAGTTAGAAGAAGCCTATTACTGATAATGCTTTGGGCGTTCCATTGCATGATATTAACTGTATCCATTATTTGGAAGGAGATATATTGTTTCTGAATGATTGATGTAAGATTTCTTTTATAGTAACTGAATTTATGGGGTTGTCCTTTTGATTAGAAATGAGTTTGGTAATTGCTTGTGTGAGAACATTCATGAAAGTATCTGATTTTGTTAAATTTTGGATCTGGGTTTCTAGTGTTTTAGTATGTAAATGTGGGAAAGACGATTCATTAAAGAGTTCCGAATATTTAGTAGTTTTGGATTTGATTTTGTTTTCTTCAATTTTTATTTTCTTTTTAGGACATGTATTGGAAATTGCAATATGATTCCCTCCACAATTTGCACACACTGCATTTGTAGGGTTTTCTTTACACTGTCTATAATTATGATTTTGTGTACAGATGGAACAGACCTCCGCATTTCTGCAGAATTTTGCAATGTGCCCAAAACGTAAGCAACGTAAACATTGTTTCACTGGTGGGATGTATACATTAACCTCATGTCGCCATGAATCGAGGTAAACATACTGCGGAAGTTCCGTGGAAGCGAATGTGACTGCTACTGTTTGTGTGGGCTGATAAGAAATTGTACCATTTTCACATCGTACTCGTCGCATAAAACGCCTGACTTGTATAACGTTTCTGGAACTGCCTATTAACGAAAAAATTCTTTCATTTGAAAGACTCGTTGGGACTGAAGTTAAAACTCCGGTCACCTCAGAGTCCGACGCTGGAATTGTGCCTTTTAAACCTAGTTCATCCAGTAGCTTTTTATTTTGAATGAAGACATTTGCATTATTCGATAGATCAAATGTGATTCCTACACGAAATTTGTTAATGGGTCGTAAGTGGAGTAATCCTGTGACACAGTGTTTACGTAATGCATTAGAAATAGCTAATCTGTCTTTATCAGTAAACTGTTTACTTTCTTCTTTGTGAGACAGAAAAACTATATACTCATTTTTTTTGCAATTTTCTGGATACTTTCTAGAGTACCCAGAAACTTTAAATATTTGATACTTCCTGGTGTTTTCTTCCTCTTCCGAAGAAGAGTCTGTTGAACTGATTCCAGCTCGTCCATCAGGTGGGTCCTTTTTACGCTTCTTTACGCCTCCCATCTTCTATTAATTCAATATTAAATTATATACACTCAAGTATTCTATGTTAAAAAAAACTATTACAAGTTAAAATTCAGCACAAATAGTGTTTGAAACAGAAGTTTAAAAGTATTTTTTCAAAAAGGGCGCCTTTTCCTTTTCCAGTTAATGCTATTGCGATAGAATTTTACAATTTGACAACCAGAGAGTAAACTAATCGAATGAAGTCAGTTACATTAAAATAGTTTAAGTATTTATGTGTTAGGCCGCAAATTTTCAATCCACCCTCGTACCTATTTCAAGTTTTATATGAAAATTTAAATCATTTTTTAATGAAGTTAATTTACATTCAACTAAAGTATGTAGTGACCATTTTGTAGGGACATCATGCACTAGTCCCGCGAGGTGGGTTCTAACCTAGTCCTAGTCCTTATTAAATTTGATTTGATTCCATCCATAAAGAAGGCCTGAGCCTCAGTACATTAATAGGTTGGTGATGATGATGATGATGACTCTAATGAGATGACATGAATTGATTAGCAGCGAAGTAACTTTGTTAAAAAAAACTCAATAAAATTTCATCTCACCGAGTATATTTTGTTGAAAGTTTGCTGTGACAGCTCAGCACCTGTGTAGAAAGTACCATAGACAACAGTGTTGGTGAGAACAGGTCGCCTGCGCAACATCTCCCGCCACCAGCGTGCTACCCCTGCTGCCATCTTGAATTCACTTTAGGCGTGAAAAACATTAAAAAAATAAAGTTGACAGAAGCAACGATTCCTGGAAAAATAATTTTTCTTGCTTAATTTTTCCATTAATCTTTACTCATATTTTAAAGCTTTGATTTCTTATTTTTTGCATTGGATAGGTCCCGAAACTATTGGATTAATTTATAAAAGACTTTCATCTACGAGAAGCTACATAAGACGAGGTGGATATATACTATAGTTTACGCAGGCGAAGTTGCGGAGAAAAGGCTAGTTTGTTAGAAATTGGTTCACAGTTCAAGAAGAAACCAATTAATATACTCCTATATATTCATAAAAAGCATACATAAAAGAGTAAAATTTACATACCTACTTCTTGAACATAGAAACTCTTCCTTTCAGATTTTGAATGAATTCTAAATACGCAACCTTTTGTTTTTTTGGTGAAATGGGCCATGTCGTAACATATCTTAATATTTAAAAGGTTTTGACGATAAATCACGAGTTAATAAAATGCTTTAAATTTATTGTATAATAACCAAAATTAAAAATATTGTGTTTAATTATTATATTTAATGAATTTCGTATTCACGGTGCTATACTGGAAAATATTCTAATCTAAGTCTGCACTAACCACTGAGAATTATTTCTCAGTGGTTAGTGCAGTCTTCAGGATTGCGAAAGGTCATGTGTTCGAATCCCATCTCACAGTAACAGGTACAAAGTGGATTTTTAAGCATTTTTCATTAAGAATACATTGCGTTGAATTTAAAAAAAAATTCAATTATCTGTATGGCCTTAACTGCCACTAAAAGTTGTTTATTTTGGCAGTAAAAGTTCTTAGACTTCTACCTTCAACTAAAGCTTGATGGTAGTAAGTAACTGGGAAAAGCTTATTGGTTAAATACTAAATATAAAAAATGGAATGAATCCTTATCATTCTTAATACTATAATATTGTTTACTTATTTGAAAAAATATATCTCCAATAGCTCAGAAACAAAAATAATGTAGTAAACATTATAACGAATCTTTTATAACTAGTTTACTACTTTTTGCTGAATTCAAATACAGATAATCTTAAAACGTGACTAATACATTAAAATCTACATCAATTTATAATTTATATTGGCCAATAAAAGAATCAAGAAATTACTTACAGATTTGTTTAAATTACTCCGCACAAAATAGAATTGTCTCAAAGATCACTAAAAAGTATTATAGAAACTTGAAAACTATTTAGAATACTATCATATTGTTTTATCACTCTGTCTTTATTCGCGTCACATTACATAATCAGAACGAATATTTTTATCGATTCGTTTACAAAAGTAGGAACTTGTTTTTATAATGACTTCCTCGTTTATTTTATGTTTTATAAGTTTGTAACGTCGTTTCCTATTCACTGTTCGTGTTATACTAGAAGGACCCTACATACTAAACATTAAATTGACTTCAATAGAATAATAAAAATGATAGCAATTGTCACAATCTACATACGATTATGTGTGTCAACGTTATAGATGTGTTTGTATCTACCTTGTGTAGCATTCGCTTTGTATATTATAAAACAAAAGGACGGTAATATTAGTTTAAGCATACCGTCGTAAACTGCAATCACTAGCGTTTCTTTGACTTGGAATCGGACTCTAAATCGGATCGCGGATATTGGGATGGGTCACGTAATTCAATAAACGCTGTGAGTTAACGACGGACTTCAGTTAATTATATTACATTATTTTTAAATACTGATAGATAAATAAATTATTCAGGGTCCTGGGTTTCAAATATACTTAGTTATTATCGAGTTTCCAGTGGCGCTACATTATATTAACAAACATATAAATATATATATCACTACATAGTATAAAACAAAGTCGCTTTCCCTGTCCCTATATTCCTATGTATGCTTAAATCTTTAAAACTACGCAACGGATTTTGATGCGGTTTTTTTCATAGATAAGGTGATTCAAATGGAAGGTTTTTATGTATAATACAAGACCACGCGGGCGAAGCCGCTGGCGAAAAGCTAGTATACTTATAAAGAAGAAAGATTGTATTGTTTGTTTGCTTTGAATAGGTTCCGAAATCATTGGGACGATTTTAAAAATTATTTCACCTATGGGAAGCTATATTATTCATGCGTGGCATAAGCTATAATTTATGAGTGTGAAGTCGAGGGATATCAACAAGTCTTCAATATTTGGAAAGAATGATAGGCTAAAAGAAATAAAATTTTATAGACACAAATAAAATTTTCGTTTCAATGTTATTACAAAGGTTATGTTCCTATGTCGGTATCTGAAATAATAGTTATTTCAGATACCCAACTGAAATTCTAATCAGCTTAAATCAACACCCACAACATACAGTACCTTAAATAGTCACAAAATATACATCTCTTAGATATCTAGGTTAATTCGAATAATTGATGTTTCGTAAATACTTTTTATCATACATTCAATTAAATAAGACTAAAATTGATATTATTATCTTCATTAAATTTTCTTTATTACGGGAAATTTTCTTTACTTTGCCACTACATATATTTGTAAAACTAAGACGTACCTTATTTATTTAACCTAAATGTTACACATAACACATAAATGACATTTCAAAGTTACTGATGAGATTATATGACATATGTTTATCAATGATATCACCGATAATGTGATAATATCTATATATTTGATATAATAATAGAATTACTCATACCTACAGACTTACATAACAGATATCTGTCTCAGATAGCAATGTGACTGACTACATGCTTCCTATAATATTTTAGCAAATATTGCATTTATTCTTTAAAACTAACCCATAGCTAAATCTATTTTTATTTGTTATATTATTATTTTTAGACAAATCACATATACTGCTCAGAACCCACTTTAAATCTTAGCTGAAAACCTATATTATAGAACTCTTTTGCTACAAAAGTACCAAGACATCTAAACCCAAATTTAAAAAAATACCTGCTATTCTGCCTTTTACCAGCTTCATACACTTTAATACGTGAATGTAATCCATGACATGGGCTTTATAACAGTATGCATAAAAATAACTTATTTATTTTTAACATACTAGCTTGAAATGTATTAGGAAAGCCAGTTCCTTTTCTACTACTGTTACAATATCATGTTCGAGGAGATGATCTAGAAAACTAAATTTTAAGGCTTCATTTTGGAAGTGAAATAATTACGACTTTCAAAATGGTACCGTCGCAAAATAAGCTTAACCACCGCTATTCTAAACAGGGCGATTGATTTGAGTGTGTTAGCTACTGTCTGCAATGCAGATCTCAAAAGTCCTTATCTATACATATATAAAAGGAGATGTCCTGACCTACTGACTGACAGAAAACGTCCAGCTTAAAATGCTGGTAGTAAAGACTTGAAATTTCGAGTGTTCATTCACCTTATTACGTAGAGATGTAATATAAAGGATTTTTGGAATTCTGTCCCGACGGGGGTCAAAAAGTGCGAAAATGTTTGTATGAAACTTCTTTGTTTTTGTACCTATATCGATGAAGCATGGTATTTGATTATATTAAGACCCTAGGAAGGCAATAGATTATATTTTTTCCCGAAAACTTGAAACTTGGGAGTGAAAGTTTTTATGATTACAATTTGAGTTATTGTATTAACTCTATCTTATATTATTTATAAAGATTTCCTTATATTATCACAAAAATTGGTATTTGAGTATCAATATACTCATTTACCAATGTAACAAAAATAACATTTTAAATAAAATGTTTTGAAAAATTCAAGTACAATTCATTTTAAATAAGAACATGGAGTCAATTAAATTACATTATTACAAACAAAATTATAAAAAATATATTTAACACTCATCCTCAACCAAAACGGTGCGATGTAGAAGGCGTTTAGTATATTTCTACATCGCACCGTTTTGGTCGAGGTTGAGTGTTAAATATATTTTTTATAATTTTGTTTGTAATAATGTAATTTAATTGACTTCGTGTTATGATTGATTATTTATTTATTTAAGGTTTACCAACGTTTGTGTTCAATATTACATACATTCTAGTTACAATAAATTTTATGTTAAATAATTAACTGTCACAAACACAATATGCTCTAGAACATAGAGTAAGTAAGAAACTACACTTTTACACTAGACAATGAGAAAAAGAGTTACATATTCAATTAATATGGATGATTAATGAATGAATGATTAATATCAACTGTTAAATTATCTCCTTGACATTGTTAAAATACTTAAACGCCTTGACATTCCTATAATGATTTTTAGGTATTTAGTTTGAATTGTAAAAGACTGAGTGTCTGAGTGTAAATTTCTAAGTTTATGGCCAATAGATAATTTAATTTGAAATAAAATATAGTAAGAAAAAACTCTAAACTTTGCTATACAAGTGCCATCTACATTTATTCTTAACTAAACTGCGTTATCGTTTTGTTCAAAGAAGCTTGTGTAGATTTCAGTTTTCGCTTAAATTGTATATAAACTTTCCATTTGAGTTTTTCTTTCTATCTGTATTTCATATTGGATAAATAGTTTTGAGGTTTTCAGGGATAAAGCACTGAAACCTTAGGTCTGCAACATATTTGAAATTAATCGGTCAATTAATGTGTAGCTGTTACTGTAACTTAAACAATCTTGTTGTAGTGCCTTCGAAGTTGAACATCAAACTCATTTTATTCTATTGTCGCGGATATTTTGCTTTTAATAATTGTGTTTCGTAGTGTGATCGTTGACAGTTAATCATTTCTCTGGGTTTTGTACAGTCGCACTGTAGAAGAACGTTGTGATGCTTACTCAGCTGATCGACATTTAGCCGTGCAAATGAATGGCGATTTTTTATTATAAGGCTAGCCGCCTAATTGGACGGATTTCTTACCCAGTTGGCAACGACATCCACCACCACCAGCCCTTTTACGTCCCCACTGCAGGGGCTCAGGCCTTTCTTATGGATGGTTAAGGAGGATGGGCCATGACCCTCCACGCTGGCCCAATGCGGATTGGAGGGTATTAACGACTGCAAATGCAGCCGGGACCAACGGCTTAACGTGCCTTCCGAAGCACGGAGTAGCTCGAGATAATAATTTTTTGGTCACCCATCCCGTGACCGACCCTTGCGAAAGTTGAAAGGCTACGACATAATCATTATATATTAACCTCAATGTTGTTTTCATTTTTACAAAATCACCTCAATTTAAACTCAAAACTTAAAGGTCGACCAAGCAATTGTGATTTATATTGTTCTTAGTCTATTTATTTTGATAACTGTCTGGTAATCTCATTTTATATGAGCGATAAAGAGTATCGTTTAATCCAAATTAAAATTATAACTCGAAAGTAGGTCTGTGTATATTAATCTGTTAAGCTGTATAAATGTAAGTTAAGCTCTCACACCTAACCCACTAAAAATAGTTGACTTGAGATATCACAAAGGTTGCATTTTATTGAAAAATAGGTTGAAATAGGCATTTAAAGTTTGTCTAGAAGTTCGTCATTGTCAAAAATAAAATCATAAAACTTTATGTTCAAGTATGAATAATAATTGTTTTAGCGTTTTAAGATATGCTGCCCAAAGTAACTATACCACGTTGACAAAAGTAGCGTAATTTAAAACCCTACGATAAAAATAATACCAATAACAAATACCAGTCTCCTGAAACTATGTCAATCTGCATAATAATGATGGAATCCTATAAATAATTTAAAATTACACTCAATTAAATGTTAATTAATTAATTATAAATAAATTAATAATATCATAATTTTATCTCGTTTATAATTTTTTCATTCAATTTGTTGATATTAATCACTATACATTGTAGAATTCAAATTAGAATCTAGTATTACTATGGATTTCAATATTTACGTTAAATTATAATATCCAGCTGTTTTTCACTTTTCCCGCGTTATAATTATATTATAGGTATGATGTAGCTTCCCGTAAATGAAAGAATTTCCAAAATTGGTCCAATAGTTATGGAGCCTATACGATGCTTACAAACAAACAAACAATAAATGATGGCAGCAGCTCCGCCTCCTTGATTTTGAATACCTATCTACTCTTAGCCATATCACATGCCGAGAACTATGAATTGCACCCTTCCATAACTATTTATTGTCCTTATAAAAATGGATTGATCAATTTAAAATACAATAATTACTTTTCAATCATAAAAAGTTACTTGAGTTTCACTTTATGCAAAGCACCTGTTGCTCTATCTAGAGCCCGAACTAGAGTGTATGATAAAACTATTGTTGCCATTAGTGTAAACACACTTATGTCAACCCACAGAACATAGAAAGACGTGTAAACCCAATAAAATGTACCTATGCACGTCACGTATTTGTCAGCTATAAATTAAATTTAATATTATATTTTGTCGTAGCCACCAATAACGACTACTTAACTTCAAAAAAGTTTCTAATCAAAATAATCATTGAGAAGCTACGCTTAAAAGTAATTCAGAGCTACGAGGATGCGACTTGTAATCTACTAGCTCTTTAGCCTGCGGCTTTCCGTAGCTGTTTTTTTTTTTAATTTGTCTAGTAGTTTCGGACCCTATTCGATGCAATCATACAAAATAAAAAAATCCTTTTTATGGTATTAATAAACATAATAATTATGGCAACGGATTTACAATAAATCAATACAATATAATAGCACTATAAAAGAGCAACCTGTGACTGACTACAATTTTTTAAATGAAAAGTTAACGTTTGTGGCTAGTTTACAACAACGTATTCAGTGTAATGTTTACGTTGGATTATATGGGCCACGTTTTGTCGAGATAAAATGACTCGTATGGTGAGATTGTCATGTGAATCGTAAAAATATTAAGAGAGAAGTATGCGGGGTGCCGGTCGGTGCCAGGTAACAGGAGGTACGGCCGCACTGTGGGCTAACGCTGAATTTTATTGGACATAAAGTGTACTTATTATTTTACGTATTTTTAAAAACTCAAATATTGCATTAATACATGCAAAATAAAAGTTAAATTCACTTTAGTAGTTAAAAACTTGAAGTAAATAAATATATAAAAATAAATAGCTTTTTTAATTTTTAATTTTTTTAAACCACTACAGATCCGTTATGAGTGTCGTAAAATCATTTTTAATCATTCGAATTAATGCATTTAAGTAACTAAATGCATTTAAAAATTAGTTTGTTTAGTTAAGTGAATTTCTTTAGCTCATATTTAGTTGTAATTTTACTGTAATACAAAGAAATTAAAGTGACCTTGACAATTATTCTTGTATTTTTATTAATGAATGAGTTATGGTTTATAGATGGAAATGAGTATTATTTTGAGAACCGGACTTGAGTATATCACTCACAATATAAAATAAAAACTTTGATATTTTACAATATTAATGTAGGTAATTAATCTACGTTGGAACTTATCTATATAAATAAAAATGAATTTCCGTTTGTTAGTCTCGCTAAAACTCAATAAAGTCTAAACCGATTTGAGAAATTTTAGTATTGAAATATTTGTAGAAGTCCTGGGAAGGTTTAAACGATGAGAAAATATGACAAAATTTCGAGTATAATACTAAACACGACAATTTGATTTTCCCATACAAACCGTTCTTAGCTGTCAAACGTTCAGTTGACGATCAATATTTATGGTCGTGTAGTGGTCAGTTTACGATATATTGTCAATCTATGGTTCGTCTTGACAGCACGTGTAAAAAAAAAACATTGTGTCATCTTTATAGTTATTAGTGCACGAAAAAATTATTAATTTAAGCCCTAATTATTATATATGGTTTTATTAAGAGGTAAGTTATATGAAATTCACCGGGTCAGCTAGTAATGAAAATGGATGAGTTTTTATCCTAGTATTAGCTGCTGAATAAAATAGTAATTGATAAAAGCAGACAAAAACATTGTTTTCGGTAATTGTATTTTGAAAATACTTGTGCAAATAATGATAATGATAACAAAAGTAATACATCAGATTGTTATTTTATTTTAAAATATAATTTTAAATAATATAGGTGTTTAAAAAAATATTAGCACCCTGTAAAGTTCAAAATATATTTGAGCCCAGTTTATTTTAAGTTTTATCAATTCCTCTACAAATTATTTTTCACATATAATTAAAATATAAAATATTTTATATGTTTGTTAAATCATAAACAATCAACAGTTTTAACATTAATTCAGTAGAAAGAAATATAGAGCCCGCAATGTCGCAATGTTTCTACTTTTAACCAGTATGATCGCTGCCTTAGATTACGTTACCCACGTCTAGTATTTTGCACCCAGCAAATACTATAACTATATAGATTTCTGTGTATGATCAGTTTTTTAGTTAATTTAAAAAATGAAATAATTATATGCACTGCACATTTAACTATTTCAATTTAAATAATTTATTGTAACATGAACTATGTATTTATGCCGAATAAATGAAAACCAAATAGTCTGTGGATTTCAAGTCACCAGTAAACCTGTTCAATTGTGATAATGATTCTTAAATAGCTAATTAATAAATACAGTGGTAGTTGAAATTGTGCAATTGAGTAAATTGTTTGATACTTGAATTTTGTCCTCAGACTCGATCAGTGTGCACTCTTGGTGTTTAGCGGTCGTCCTCCCACCTACGTCGCAATTGTCTCACTCTAACGCCATCGCGCCATCCCTGTCACGCCATACATTCAGTCGCCGCGGAACACTGGCGCGTTTCGAAGGTGTGTTGTTGCTTCGTCTCTACATGCAGTGTTTGCGTGATATTCGTAAATAAAACCTGTTTCGCTAACATAAGGTGGATTAAAAAGTTACATACTGTCAATAATAATAATCAGCTGTGTATTCTCGTGAATTGGAATTGCGTTCTATAAAGTTTTGTGTATAAGTGATTTCGAAACAGTGACAACAAGTTTTTTTGTGTTGTATTATTTGGTCCTTGAGTTGGAGGCTTTATCATCGACAACTACATTCTTCGTATTCGACAGTGGTCAAGGTATGTTTCGGTCAACACAAATTAACTCTATATAGAGTCAAAAAGGAAGCTAACTTTTGCATAACTTTCATTTGTGTTTATTAATTTTGTTAATAATGGTTTTGTTCATAACCGGTTCTATAACACCACCATCTTCGATTTGATTCCCGCCCAATGTCGTGTATGAACTTAACTTTATCAGATCTTGTGGTTTAATTCATAGAATTACCTTGGCATGATCTCGAATATTTATATCGATTTGAATATGTTTAATATCAGCGATCGAAGATATAACTTAATTTTATTGTACGTTTGGAAATGAATTTTAACTGTAAATTAATGCTTACCATCTGTTTTGGATTTAGCAATAGCACATTTGAATTATTTATAAAAGGCTACGTTAACAATAGTTTAAACACCATAAAACTATAGACAGGTAGTTAATGCGGAATCAGTGGAGCGAAATGGGAGGGGAATTAACAACACCATACGTCCTGTCTTGAATAGGATAGTCCCGATTTTTTATTGTTTGTCGCGGTGTCTCCGAAGATAACCCCGGTCGCAAAAATATCTCGTTTTTCAAAAAAATATTGTCAGACGCACACTATCGTTTGCCTGCCACTTGAGAATGCCACCAGGCTGCATTAGATATACCTAAATGCGAAATTAATTTTTTTTTCATTTACTTTGGGGTTACTTTTAACCTTATGTTATTAATTATTATGCATTAACGCAAGTCCTCGTTAAATGTGTGATTAAGTTTATACCACAGCAAATAACTATTAAGTGCGGCACAGCGTACCACAGGTGTCTGAACCTAACGCACTATTCCAGAAACATAAAAAAACGATGTCCCGTTTTCGTCCAATGAAAATGTGGTAACGTTATGAATGACGTTGTTTGCACATCTACCTGCTTTAACGTGGAATGAATACACTCTCTATGAATGTTTAAATAACAATGTCTGCGTCACATGGTATCTTTTTAAACGGCTTTTATTATCTTTGATGTTATTTAACTACGAAAGCATTTTTTAAGACGATGAAAAGATGATAAGACTAGAAAACATCTTGGCCCCACCAGAATGTTTTTTTTTTATATATGTATATGTTAAAAAAATTATTTCAACCAATAATAATTGATTTAATTATTTCATTGATGGAAACATGGACTACGCACATTTTCTAAAACATCTAATTTCCTAGCCATAGAAATTGTTTAATAGCAATATACTACAAGTATGTCGAAAATTAAAAAACAATTTCCGTAGCCGAGTGTCGCCATTTCTGAGGTTCCGGGTTTGATTCCCGGTCAGGTCAATGTAGAAAACGAGTTTTTCTATATTGTCTCTGGTCTGGGTGTTGTGGTATATTCGTTGTCTCAGATACTCCATAATACCCCGCATTTAGCTACTCATCTTGGAATCTCAGCAATGTATGTGATGTTGTTTAATATTTAATATTGTAATCCACATTTGGTTGCACCGATGTTTCAACATAAAATAATGATCCTGTACAAAAGCCAAGTTTCATAACAAAATCTCTACATTTTTATTTATTTTACCCAAAACCCACAAAACCAAGAAATATAGCAAATGCTTGGGGACCTTTCCTAGTAGCCCATGCTGTTTATTCACATTATTTTTATGCAAAACGAAACGAAAACTGAGGAGATACGCTCTACATACGATGATTTTCTTTAACATGTGTGTTTTAACAACTTTACTAACACATTTTTTTTCATTCCACATATATTATTCTTCAATTTACTATCTACAGAGTTTGCTATCAGATATAACCATTTACTTGAACGATAACGTAGAGATATAATATGAAATTACACCTCAATTAGTAACAAATTATTTGATTATGTTGTATCGGTATGTTACCATTTATGATGAGTACTATCATTAGCTTATTAATGTTCCTACTGTTTTAGTACAGCCTTGCTATTCTGTTAAAAACAGCATTGAACTATAATAAAACCAAAAAAGTACATAGGGCTGTCGCTTATAGAGTGCGTGCGACATGCGGCACGGGCGCGCTCACATACAAACCATTTTCGGTGCGCATGTATTGAATCAACTCTTTGGTTTTACTATGGTCCAATGCAGAGTCGAGTACAACGCTGTCTTACGATATAGGTTCAATGAAATAAGACCCTTATTACCTTTTGAAGTAGGTTTTATTTGATTGAACCTCTAATGCTGGGACAGCTTTCAGCTTGCCGTTACATTTGCCGCAGATTTTTTTACAGTTGCTAATTTTTTACAAATTAGCAAAGGAGGCCTATGAATAACATCACATAACCAAATATGTTATAACCCACCACAAACCGGTTTCAAAATGGTGTCAACATCACTGATATCCCAGGAAAGATTCACGGCACGAGCAGTATATGTCTATACCTAAAAAATCTTGGATGTTTGTTTAGTTGGGTTTATTCCAGTTAATTTACATTAATGATCAAACTTTATGGTCGAATTTCGACACTTAGCAGGCCACTACTTATTATTATTCCTCAGCTCTTAAAATTATCAAAAATATATATGTTTTAAATTTTTACAACGTCAATATACTTAATTAACTTTAGTGTTGATGTTTGTAGGGTTAAATAAAAATAAACAATTAATGCCCGTCAAATGTCTACGGATACACTGTGTTATTATTAGAACAGTTCAGAAGATTATTTATTTTTAATTCAAAGATTAACGAACCCATTGAGGTGTGAACATGGTTCTATTTTGATATCTCTATTGACGGATACTGATTTCATTTTTAAATACCAATGATCATAGCTATACTCGAAAACGACAATTTATCGAATGCCTATAAAATAGCAATTTATAATAATATAATAAAGAGGTAAAAGTTTCTAACTTGGTTTGTTTGTATAGAATAATCTGCTGGAATTCTGGTCCGATCATAAAAATTCTTTCACCTAGAGGAAGCTACATCACAAGTAGGTGATGTAATTTATGCTGACAAAGTCGCGAAATAACAGCTAGTTGTTTATAATTTCATGAGTAAGTTGCGTCAAAATTATGATACAGTTTCATAATTACAGTCAACAGTAAGTAAATTTATGCAAACCACATTTGGACTCTTGGACTAATACTAAAATTGCAATTTTAGCGTAAATTGACTCTAACGCTAAATCTTGTTTATTAATAGCACTTTTATGAGTACAATAAGCATTTATGTTTTTAAATTCCAGCTCTTAATAGTTGAACACGTTCGAAGAGAACTGCATATCACTGAGTCATTATACAAATATGCTATGATGTCATATACCAGGTAGGAAAACATCTTTCAACGACATCAGCACTTAACAACCAAATGGCTAACAAAGTATGGAGACCTTTTCCGAAATTATAATAGGTGACGGAAAAAATTACAAGTATTATTTACTAGCTTTCTGCCAGCGGCTTCGCTCCTGTGGTCCCTAGGGACATATTTATTTATTTAATGAACTTTATTGACCGTTGAATTATTAAAAGAGGTAGACTTAATGGTAAAAGCTTTCTCTATCAGTTAACCTATACGTCGATCCAGGCTTAGAATTATCCGTATACCAAATTTCATTAAAATCGGTTCAGTAGTTTTTTAGCCAAAAAGTGACAAACATCAAATCTTACAACTTACGCCTTTATAATATTAGTCAGATGCACTTTATAAAAAAATATTGCTGTTTATGATGACAAATCTACAAACCTACTCATGGAAACTAATTAGATTGACACTGTACCTACAGTAAAACTCATCTGCGTTTATGCGACGCCTAGGAAATGTATTGTTACATGTATATCTCATTTTAATAAAATAAAAATTATTAAAAAATTATTACAAAAAACGGTTTTTAATTATTACCAACAATCAATTTAAGCATATTTCATCTTTGTAACAGATTTGTTTCTTAACAAAAATATTAAACTAACCTAGTGCCATTAGTTTCTAGTTGCTTGGTACAGTCATTGTTTTGATGGAAGTTAGTTAAGGAAGCAAATATTTCAGTAGATTTTTCTTTTCTTTAACAGAATCGTTATAAAAATACATAAACGTACATAAATACGTCACGCAATAATCTTTTTTAATGAAATTTGTTAACATGCTATTTATTACACACAGATATTGTCTGTTGATGTCCCGAAGAAATAGGATCAAATATTATTGCTAAAAAAGTACCTTTTTCTTCGCTATCTATAAACATATTACCTACTTTTAAAGCAAGGAGAACCCTCGTTTCAACCGATACTAACAAACAATGAGCTGATTTCCTTGGTTTGTCTTTTCGATGGCATTCAATGCCAACTACTTCTCATTTAGGGCTGTGCCCGCGACTCTATAAATATTCCATTGATCCGTTATTCTGTTAGTTTTTCTGATAAATATCATGTAAATATTCATAATATCTGTTTAGTATATATAAGAAGTAAAATAAAACGAAATACCGTCATAACTATCATAACTAGAAACTAGAGATTTAGGATTTCGCACCCCGGGTATAGCAGTCGCCCGGATTATTGTTATGAGAATAGACAGAAATTTTAATGCCTTTTATTTCGTACTGTAACTGTTATATCTTCAAAGAAAAACAGTCATATTTACATCAATATTGTACACTAATCAATTCAATAAAAAAAGTTAGGGCATATTATTGTTTATCTAATACAAACAACTCCCGGGATACTTCCCACAGTTAACAAATAGATGTTCTATAAGAAAATACCTCTATAATTGTGTGAAAAATAATAAATAGTGTACTTTCTCAAGTTCATATTCACAATATTAATTCCTAATAAAACGTGTGGATGATCTACTCATATTTCGGGTTCTGGGGAGTAATGATCAATTAGTTAAAGTGGTTCAGTAACTAAAGAAGTGGTATTTGTTGGGTTTCTTGCTGGACTATAATAATATCAGGTTTGTACTTTTAACGGTTTTCTTTTTTTTTAAAATACCTTATACCACACACCATTCCTAAAAAATAATAAATTAAAAAAACATAAAATGTCTTTTTAT